AGGTGTTTGATGTGCCTCTGGCAAGTGTGGTTTTTCCAAGTTAAAATTGATAAGAATTGGGTCATAAGAGAGCAATTTAAATGCATATTTGCTATTTATATTGATTCTTTCTATATCAATAATATTTACCTTTTGGTTGTGTTTTTACAGGAAAAAGAGGAGTGAGAATTACAAATTACAGAAAGCCTGTTGACGCGACTCCACACATAGGAAATTTCACCGGGTGCAGCGCAGGCCAAATACCAGAGAATTGGCGCTAGTTGGCGCCAGATTGGCGCAAACTAGCGCCACACATATTAAGCACCTACATTATGGCGCCACTAGGCGCCCAAAAGTAAGTAAATGGCGCCAAGTGGCGCCCAAAGACAAGTAAATGGCGCCAATTGGCGCCCAGCAATACAAAGGGTGGCGCCAGTTGGCGCCGGTCCACGCAATCAGGTCCGACTTTTGGTATTCGAGGCAGCAACTCCGCGCGAAGTAGCGCCACACCGGCGCCAACTGGCGCCGGGTTGCGGGAAATTGTACCGTTATGCTATGAGGGTATTTTTGGAAGAAGGAAAAAAGTCCTATAAATAGGATCCTTTTGACAGAATTAGGGATTCCGACCGATTTCTTCAGAAGGAGACCGACGGCAGAGCTCAGGAGGATTCTTCTACAGTTCTTCTTCTTCTCTTTTCTCTGTAATTTTATGCTTTTGAATATTGGATTAGTTTTAGCCATGATTATGTTTGGCTAGTTTTCCTTCATTGTGGGTAAGGTCACAAACCCTATGTGAACCTTTTGTTTAGTTATGGATTGGTTTACTTTTCGCTCTTTAATTTAATTGATTTATGCCTACTCTGTGCGTATTGCTTATCGTTTATATTAAATCTGATCAGTTTAGTAGTGAATGATAATCTGAGGGTTAGAACCCTAGATAGGAATATTGGGGTTTTGGTCCAAAAAGGGGGTAGGATAATAATTAACATGCGTGCTAGGAATAGACGTGTTCTTGATTACAAACGTTTAATTTATCTGTGTAATGCTTGATCTCAATTGAAACATTGCAAGGAATTGGGGTTTTAATTGTGATTAAAGGGCTAAATTTGCAAGGAATTGGGGTTTAGCTAATAATTGTTTGGATGATAAATTGTTTGATTGTTTATTTTAATTGAGCAATGTGAATCAATCCGTAGTGAAAAGAGGGGATCATAGGGCGAGTGTACTTACCTGCAATATCTCTCATATTTTTATCCAAGTCATTTTGCATCATTCTCTTATTTTTAAAATCCAAAAATACGTCTTTGTCTTTAATTTCTATTGTTCTTCAAATCACTTGGGTTTTATATCTTGAGAGGACGTTTATAAGATATTCGCTCACAATCCCTGTGGAGACGATAACTTACTTATCACTTTATTACTTGAACGATCGGTACACTTGCCGGACTGTATCAGTGTTCCACTTGGTGTCAAAGAGGCTCTGTCACTAAATAAAAGATGAAAACTCCTCAAAGCTTATACTATTAAGTGGAAGTTCATGAGTGCCTTCACTGGTTGTTCCCTCTGTCCCAGCTCTTGCATTAGAGAGTTTGTCTATTCCTCTTTCCAAAGGTAACCGATTCACACATAACCCTCATCCACTTTATGCTTTTATGAGTTATGATCGGATTTCTTTACAATATTGAGTAAATACCCTTTCGAGTCCCTAATAAAAAACACGGTCCCCACTTTAGCTTTTTACAAAAAAAAAATTAGTCAGTTGGTCCCTAACAAATATAAAGTGGGCCCATTTTAGTCCTTTTGAGGGACAAATATGGGTCTTTTTTGAAATTGTGAGGGACCACGATTTCAACTAAATGGGTCTATTTTGAATTTGTTAGGGACCAACTGACTAATATTTTTTTGGTAAGGGACTAAAGTGGGGACTGTGTTTTTTGTTAGGGACCAAAAAGGGTATTTACTCTACAATATTTTACATTTATATCTAGTCTTTCCTCTATATCTATCCCTAAAACTACAAGTGAAGAGCTATCACATCAAGGATGCTGCCAAGCAATGATTGATGAGATGTTTGTCTTACATTTTAATGGCACCCAGGACCTTGTTCCTACACCTAGACTTGTAGGAAAATCCATTGTTGATCGTCAACGGGTATTTTTGGTTAAGGTTGATCCTAATGGTATTATTGATAGCCCCAAAGCTCATTTGGTTACCAAATGTTATACTTACATATTTGGCCTGGATTATGGGAACACTCTCTCTAGTCACTAGAATGGGATTTGTTTGACTATTCCTAGCCTTGGCTATTATTCGTTACTGGCCCCCACATCAACCAAACATTACTAATTCCTTTTTATACAGTGATTTGTATCAGGAGGTTTACACAAAGCAACTACCCGATTTTGTTGTTTGGGAGGAGAGCACTTGGGTGTGTAATCATCACAAGCTTGGTTTCACTGTTTCTGTTCAGCTGTTCAAGCATTTGATTTAAGTTGTAGTGAATCTGATCATTCTATCTTCTATCAACATAATTCTTCTGGACAGTGCATTTATCTTCTTATCTATGTGGATGATATTGTCATTAGTGGAAGTGATCGAGTTCGAAATAAAAAACTAAAACAACACATGTTCAGTCAGTTTTCAGGCTAAAGATCTTGGCAAGCTACACTATTTCTTAGGTTTTGATATGGCACAATCTAGACAAGGCATTTTCATCTCTTATAGAAAGCATGCCTTGGATATTTTGGAGAAAACTAGCATATTACGATGTAAAACTATTAAAACACCGATGGATCCCAATATCAAACTTCTTCTAGGATAGGGCACTTATAAACCCTAGTCATTACTGAAAGTTGATTGGAAAGTTAAACTATCTTACTGTAACAAGACAAGAAATTCCCTTTGCACTGAGCGCACTGAGTCAATTTCTTGATTTCCTATGTGACTTTCATCGGGATGCAACTATCAGGATTCTCCAATACATGCATGAAAGGAGCTCCTGACTTATATTAAAATAAGGGGCATGTAGAAATTTGCATTTACATTGATGCTGATTGAGCACTCCCTCGGATAGATGCTCTACATCAAGTTATTGTGTCATTTTTCGAGGTAACTTAATTTCATGAAAGTGTAAATAGCAATAGAGTTATCAAATGCGGATTGTGGCATGTCAAGGCCAACCCCAAAAAACGCTATAGCGGGAATAGATGTATGACAGAAATATGACAAAAAGAAACATTTTTTAAAGGCAGAAGATAGCAAAAGTGTCAGAGAGAGATGCAGATAGACTAAAAAACCCTTAAAAATTTTCTTTTACACATTTAAATTTAGGACAAAATTGATATTTTGCCTTATGATAGCAATATGGCCCAAATGCGAGCACAATGGCCGCTATTGCGTTCCGGTGCAGCGCAGCGCAGTTTCTTACAGCAAGGCACTGCAACGCCCATATGACGCGGCTCGCGGCGCTATTGCAACGTAATTAACTACTATGAATAGCAAACAATGGTGGCTAGATCAAGTGCAAAAGCTGAGTATCGTAGGAGTTGCAACTTGTGAACTTATTTGGCTGATGCAGCTGCTCAAGGAATTAAATATATGCAGGTGTTAGCCAATGAAGTTAACTTGTGAAAATTAGGCAACACTGCACATATCTACAAATCGATATATCATTGTACCACATCATGTAAATAGGGCCCAAGCCTATCTATCTCATTATTATATGTATAGAATTCTTGTGTGGTCTTGTTAGGAACATAATTACCCAAACTTCGATTATAATAATATTATACGATATCTTCTAGATATTATAACAAGGCGAATGAGATTTATCATATTTAGATACTGGGAAATTAATCTTTTACAAACAGATGAAACAATTCAGGGATTCAAAATATTTCAATGATTAAAACAAGTAGTTTAGTTCTTGTGCTAAACAATGGGCATTCTACATAGTAATTGTAACTTCCAGGTCCTTCTATATTATTCTCCCTATATATTTTATGTATTTAATTTTGATCCACCATCAGGGTAACAGTTTTCACAATATCAAAAAATATTATATTGACACATTCTTAAATATTTAAATCAGTTTAATTATAACAACAACTGCTTGAAAACTCAAAACTCTTTAAGGATGTGCGATGCTAGTGTGAATTTTTTTTCATTGTGTAGGATCAAAATTAAACAGATTTGAAACAGCACAAGATCAAATTCAGTAGTAAATTTTTGTGGTAGGATTACGAGATCTGAAGTTGAAGATTTCAAGGTTTAGGATTGAAGACAAATGTTTTTAATTTCAGAGATTGATTTATTATTGAGAAGATTAAGAAGCAGAAAAGTTGACTGAATCAATGTCTATGTTAAAAATAGAATTTCTAGACAGCAAAAAGTTGACTGAATCAATGTCTATGTTAAAAATAGAATTTTTAGGCAGCAACAAATCAAAGCAATTTAAATGGCTAGGACAAGAATGATGCAAGGAGAAGAGAGAATAAATTTTAAACGCATGAGGTTTGGGATTCTGCAAGCCTTCAAGTGTAAATCCTTATTAACTTCACTCAGTTTTGAACTCTCATTTGTAAATTCTCCACTTTCATCAGTGAATTTGCATGACTACCTTAAAATTTCAATATCGGTGTTTTGCTATAACCAAAATGCAAAGAGTGACAACAATTTTCCTATTACAACCAAGATTCTCAAATACGGTAACTACTAAAATTGATAAATATGTTATGTAGCACCACAGCAAGTGATTATGAAGCAATACATAGAACCAGAGGTAGTATCTCAAAATAATTTCATTTGGTTAGTGCTCAATTCCAATCTTAAAATACAATTACTGGTTTGATTCATTTCACAGGTCCGTGGGAAAATAAAACCACCATAAAACAACAGAAGGAAGCTGCGGCAGAGTAAAGCCCAAACTGTATAAACACAAACCAATCGACAACCTCACACACATTTTCTAGACATCATGCATGTTAAACCAGAGATCATCACATGCTTAAATTGAATCATACCTCTAAATTAGGCCATGAAGCCAATTCCTCTGCAAGCATCTGGAGAGCAACTTTATTCTTCGGAATTTTCCCCTCATTCACCTAGTACATCCAAAGTCAAAAAAAAAAATATCTGAAATCAGCAGTTGACCACATATTGAGTTTAAAGGCCAAGGTTCAATAACACAATTACACAAGATAGCATTTCAGACAATAAATTGCTGACTACCCTCTGATTCTTAACCTTTTTGTCATAGAAACATGTAACAGGGCAGCTAGAAGTTACCAGTCGAGCTTAACAGAGTTAATGTAACTAGCAGGAAGTTACTTTTGCATTGATGATAACAGAAATACAGTCTATAGTGCAGTTCTGGAGGAGTTAAGAGTTATGGCAGACAAAACAGTTGTCTCTTCAAAGAGGAGCATGGTCGTGAACAGTAAAGGAAAAAATGGACAAAACAAATTATTAGAGAAATATAATATAAAATCATTAATATGGCCTTCACTCAATAGCTTAAGCTATTGGGTTTAATTGATAGTTTTACCTGAAATCAGAGCCTTTAGAATATAAAACTATTAATATGACCTTCACCTAACAGCTTAAACTTTAGGGTTGAATTGGTATTTTACAAAAATAATTTTAGGTTTCCTTTAAGTTATTTTGTCAAGTTGGGTTTTGTAAAATAGAGAGATGATTGGGAAAACTATTTGTATCCAAAGTAAGTGGAGGTCTCTATATTTATTACTCGGTATATTAGGCTAGCTGTACAATAATGTAGTATAATATAGTACAGAGGACAAAAAAAGATACCCTCTCCGCACATTAATCATGTTCATAATGCCACTTAACACTCAACGCTCCCCCTCAATTGGATCCTTAGATGATAATTATGCCCAACTTCTTACAAAGGTAACAAACCCTATGATAGAACTGGATCAGAATATAGAAAGAAAAACAGTGTGCACTGAGATGAAAGAATGAAGATACAACGCACTAATCCCCACTATCATAACTGACTCCCCTTCGCATCTTTTATTTGTATTTACCCATGTGACTCCTAACTATCTGTTAAACAGACTTACGCAAAGTTCTAACAATACTCCCTGCCCAAAAGATACAACTTGTCCTCAAGGTGAAATTCAGCGGCCTATCCTATCCCATCAGCCCAACCTTCTCCCCTGCCAAATTTTCCTCAAGTAACATTGCTGCAAATTGTTGGTTTTGGCACACATGATCCAAGCTATATTTCTTTTCACATCTAAAACACAGCCCCTTCTTGATCTTCTATTGTAAGTCTGCTTCAAAAAGTTTCTCGAAACCCCTCCCCCTCCTGGGCTTTCGAAATTACCATTTGTCTACTGGTTGAGAAATCCATCTTGTGGGTTAGTCAGTGCATGTAGCCGAGAGCCAGCTTCATACATTATTGTTTTGGACAATGAGTTACTTCTGTATGCAGCCCTTGCTCATTGCCCAAAATTTCTCATTCCTTGCTTAGTACTTGATTCTTCTCATTGATCTGCTAAGCATAATCCATCATTATCGGCAAAGATCTAACTAGGTGCAATCTCAATTCTGCCCAGATCTCTTGCATCAGCACCATTCAGGAATATTCCCTTGAGGTACTTAGGGTCTGTATCACTCAAGGGATTGACATAGAGCTTGAATTGTTCTCCATAATCTTGCACAGAAGCTCATTGCCTCAACCCCAAGACTTTATAAGGATTTTGCTAGAAGTATTGAAAATAGACTAATAAGAAGTCCCAGATCGTTGTATTAATCTTAATAGTCGCTCTATATAATAGAGCCTTCCCTGTGCTATTGAAACACACGGATTTAAACATTGCCTTTTGTTTCCATGTCATTCAACATGGTATCAGAGAGGTATCATCCTCGTTTCTCTTTTTTTCTACCAAGTTCTCTAAAATTCGAAATTCTATGTTAATTACTTTCCATCAACCTTCTCTCATCAGTTTCTTCCACCAAATCTTAGAAGCCTTCTGATTCACCCTCACAAATATTTTTTTCCTTCCTTTCACTACAAGGTATGCATGTATTTTTCTTATTCGATATGACCCAAGGCAAATTATGGTTCTTAGGTCTCTATAAAGGATATTCTGAAGCCTGGGGTACAAATTTTCAGTAATAATGTCAATTCTACATATTGTATGAAGAACGTTAGATCCCACACTCTTATCTTGTCGGATTCGACCCTTCGTTATGTTGTTTATCTCTTTTCTAACCTCAACATAGCATTGAGGGAGAGAAATTTGGAAGTTGCACTCTAGTCCAGTCAAACTGTCCAAGTTGTTGTCTGGCCCCATTGGATCGCCCTAGCTGTTGCATGGCCCCATCAGACTTTGTCTAAGATATGCTTTGATTGGGTCTCTGATAAGAACAACCTCCAGAATCAGTAAAAGAATAACAAAACACAAGTTCTTGACCTGGAAAACCCAAATTTTCTGATATATGTATTGAAAAAACAGAAGATTACAACGGAAGGAAATTATACTACTGATAAGAAGGAAATTACAAAAATTAGAATGACAATGAATAACAATGGTAGAAAATAACATAACTATTGTGAAGCAATTTGAGAGGCTTCACACTCTCCCAAGGGTCCCAATTCCAATTATCCAATTCCTTATTCAGCAGCTTCATTATTCCCTTACTAAGCCTAATCTCATAGAATATTCTATTCTCCCTCCAAAAGTTAGTTATGCCACCTCATTGGTAGAATATAATCCCCTACTATCCTCCTTACATACACCTTCATGAGTATGTTCCTATCAATCTCCTCCCCAAAACACTCACCTTGTCCTCAAGGTTGAGGTTGAGACTGCAAGAACCTCCCACCAGGATCCCATTGCTTGAATTGCAGAAACCCACAAGTCCCTGAAGAATGATAATGTCCCCCAGGATCCCATGACTCCTCTGCAACTCCCACTAGATTAGGATTGGCCACGGAGCCTCGATCAAATTTTTTATTCCTTGCACGGCAATAAATGAAAATTCCCTTCTCCACCACTATTGAGTACCCGGCCACAATTGTGAATTGGTCGACTGGAGTTAGTACGCCCTCAATGGAAATTTCAAAAATTTCAAGTAGGCTGACATTGTCTCGAGTTGATGGACTGGTGCTAGGCATCTTGGATTTAATTAAGTCTAGTCGTATCATGGTTTCGCAATACCTAACTTCACACTAAATAGAATATAAGAGACCCATATCCCTATGTTGGGTTGTATGGAGAGCGATTTGATAAGAACCCATTAAAAGATCCATATCATTATGTTGGGCTAGGAATGTCTTAAAAGTAATTTGGGCATGACCTATTAGGTCAACCGCTTGACCCAATTCATGTAGTTCACCCTTTGACCTAATTTGCTCCTCTTTCATCTTCTCACGCCATCACAGTCGCTGTCCTCCATAGCTGCTCATCAATAATTTCTCCCTCTTATGATTGTTCAAGACAGGCGACTCTGGGGATGGAGGTGGGTAGACCACTTCCGATGGCTAGGGCGATGCCGACACTTGCGCACATGGAAAAAATTCCTCAATCTCAAACTCCCCTGGGTCTTTGTTTATGATTTTTGCAATCTGAACTCTTGCGTGCAAGCTTTCCGGAATCTCAACTTTCTTCATTTCATCTTCCTTTTCATCAACCACAAGCGCTTCTCCTTCATAATCTCTCTCTCCATGATTTCCATCTTTTTCTCTCCTTTCATTGCATCTGACTTCACCAACACCGATTCAGTTTGCAATTCAGGTCCTGATTTTGTGGCATCCAATTCTGCATCATCATCTAATAAACAAATCTTAGATAGATATTTCTATAAAAATCCCTTCGTAAAATTCCACCAACTTGCTTTAGGATTGAGCCAACACTAGCATTTATACCATCTAAGTGCAGATCCTCTGATGGAACCCCTTTTTTATAAATCTGAAATTGCAGAAAATATAAAGGTAATACAGAAAATACACACTAAAAGACCTCACTCACTCTAAAGCCAAATACCTAGGCCAAAGAGATCCCAAGAGATCCTTTCCCAAAACCCCACTCCAAATATTCTGAATACCTCACACTCTCACACCCCATCCTTATATCCTATTATTTAGGAATATTCTAGAATAGTTTCCCTAACAAACTAGCTAATTCACTAACTAATTTTGCATTGCTAAACTTGGGCCCACTAATCCTAGCCCATCATCCTCTAAGCCCTCTCTCAGCCTCTATCAACTTTTCATCTTCAATGATTCTCTTTGCTCGGAAAGATTGTTCCAAATCATTTAGCCATACCCAAGCGTCATCTCTGTCTCCATAAAATTCTAGAATCATCGTTGATGTTTTTTTTTTTAACTGATACCACAGCTCCTAGATCAGAGCTTTGATACCAATTGATATGAACCAAACTCTAGAATTAGTAAAAAAATAACAAAACACAAGTTCTTGGCCTGGAAAACCCAATGGAAGGAAATTATACTACCGATAAGAAGGAAATTACATAAATTAGAATGACAAGAAAAGATGAATAACAATGGTAGAAAATAACATAACTATTGTGAAGCAAATCGAGAGGCTTCACACTCTCCCAAGGGTCCCAATTCCAATTATCCAATTCCTTATTTGGCAACTTCATTATTCCCATCTTATACTAAGCCTAATCTCCTAGAATATTCTATTCTCCCTCCAAAAGTTAGTTATGTCACCTCATTGGTAGAATATAATCCCCAATTATCCAATTTACATACACCTTCATGAGTATGTTCCTATCAGTATACTGTGTTTTCGTGTGCTTCAAGCTTCCAAATGCTATTCTTGATGAACTTGGATAAGTTTAAGTTCTAGCTATGTATATTTGCTTGCAAGGACGTCTCTGCTGTTGGTCATTCTAACGAAGTCCCTTCTTACTTGGTAACGCAATATTTCAACTAGCTCTTTAGGCTAATGATCATTCCAGTCATCTTGTTGAGTTGTCTTTCAAGCAATTTTTGTCCCTCCAACATCTCTGGCATGAGTTGACTTTGCAACCATGTTTGTGGAGCCCAAGTATGGTATTTGGTTAATTTTTATTTTGTAAAGGTTTATTTGCAACAAGCATAAAGCTTTAGCTTAACTGAGAATGTGAGAAGTATTCAAAATAGGTTCATAAGAAGTCCTATATTATTATATTAGACCTATGTAATTTTTATAGTTGCTCTATAAAATAGAGCCGCTCCTCTGTGCTATTGAAGCACACGGATTAAAACTTTACCTTTTGTTTCCATGTTACTCAATGGATTCTACATCATTGAAGGCTGAAACCTTTGAATCACAACAGATTCTACAACTGGATCAGAAAATAGAAAGAAAAACAGTGATCTTCGAGAGAAAATCTCTATCTCAAAGAAAGAAAATTATGCTTGTAGAACAATATAGTATGGAGGACATAAATACCCTACGCACATTTATAACATGCATAATACATTATGGACTTTACAAATTTGATCTGAGTAGGTTTTCAAAAGCCAAAAAAATGTACCTTAAAAAATGACTCGATGTACAACCCAAACATGATTTAAATAAACTCTAAAGCTTTTGGTATAAGAGAAAGTGTCAATGCTTTTACACTTTAACGCACAGTTTTTATTATCATGGTCACAGAAGAATGATTTACCTCTTCCAAAGCAGCAACTAGATCCTCTCTTGTTGGGGCATCAGGATCTTCAATGCCAAGTAATCTTCTTCTCTCTTCTTCTCTAGGGTCCTCAATCATTATGGTTAATTTGACCTAGAAAGAGGATAAAGAAAGAACCACTGGATCATCATGGGAAAAGACAATATGATTGGAAGATGCAGTGCTGTAATAAGCAAAAATAGGTGTAAAAAGTAGAAACTCAAGCTTATTTCTAAAATTTTAATGCATATTTTTAGGCCATTCTGAACCCAAAAGAATCATAAATATTTCTGCATCTCTCATATCTGACTGAATTCTAAAATACAGAAATGGTCGCACGACAGTTCCACTGCATTGCACAACTATACATAATAGGACTGTTAAAGAGAACCAATTACACTTATTCATCTTAGCTCTTTTACTCAAATATTCCAAAATACCGCCTTTCACATTTGTATAATTTCTTTTAGGATGAAGCTTAAAAATAAAAAATTTAACGATACTGAAATCGTCACAATTTTAGTACCATGCTATCCAAATAACTAACAACAAATGCTTACACATGACAAATAGCTCTAAAAACAAATAAAATGAAATAGGTAGAAGTACCTCACCGAAGAGCATGTCCCGGTTCATCTTGAGAAGCTCCAAAACCTGCATGTGGACATGGAAATCCAATTAGGAAAAATGGAGAAAATTTATAAAAAAAAAAAAAAAAAAAAAGTAGAAAAAAAAAATTCAATGTCCTGAAAAAATCAGAGATACCCTTTTGATTTGTGCAACGTATTCAAGGTCTTGAGGAGTTGGTTCATCGTCCTGTTGTTGTTCCAGCTGGGAGGAGATACGAAGATCAGTGTCTTCCTTCTTCCCCACGCAGGGAACAAGGGAAAGTGTGGTTGAGGTTCGGCGATGGCGGAGCCTCGTGAATGCTGCTCCATTGCTAAAGAATGTGTGGGTATGTTGGAAGGTAGGAAGATAATAATAAGAAGAAGAAGAAGAAAGTGAAGGGGGAGCTAGTGTTAGTGGCCACGGTTGTGCTGCCATTGCTATCGTGGCTTGCTTCAATCCTATCATGTTTGGTTTATAGTAGCAGTGGCATTGTATCATCAGATTATATTACTTTTTTTTTTTAGAAGTTACAAAACACAACACCTTACACTACTACATACACTCTTAACACACACATAACATCACTAGGCTAACCCTAGTGGTGCATCAGATTATATTACATATTCATCTACTAAAATATAAAATAATATAAAACAAGTATCTACTAAAAAATATAGGGCTATTACAAAATATATATATATATATATATATATATATAGGGTTAGGATATTCTTACTACTGATTCTTTTACTACCACTTCATTATCACTTTAATTACCATTGGATTAGAGGAAAAGTTAAATAAAGAGAGAAAAAAAAATAACTTTTGAATCCAATGGTGATTAAAGTGGTAGTAGTAAAAATTAGTAGTAAGAATATCCTACCTCAAAAATATATATAGGTGAATGAGTCCTATTATTTTTTTTTCCTTTTTTATTTAATGAAATTCATTTATTTTTATGTTAATTATGATAGAAACAATTTTTATTACAGCACAAACAAAAACATTAATTTCTAGACTAACATTAAAAAATAGGATTTAATATTTATACAGTGAATACAGATAAATTATTTATATTAATTACCAAAACGATATTGTTTTTAATTGAAAAATTAAAAAATTATAATGAGAAAGACTATTATAAACTTGAAATAAATTATAATTACAAAAATACCTTGATTTCTGTTCCAAAACGACGTCATTTCGGGCTTAATATAGATAATTTATCTACATTAACTGCAGAAAAAACGAACCCTAAATAATATATATAAAAAGTTAGTGGAATTGTTATCAAAAAAAAAAAAAGTTAGTGGAATAGTTTTATTTAAGTGTTTTTGTTTTTATAATTTTAGTGATACCAAGTGGTCTGTACAAAAAATTAATTTCTACACTTGAACACCAACAAACCTATCTTCGTAAGAATAAGATTAGTTTCTTATTTTCTTTTATGAATTTCTTCATCGGTTCATAACTATCGAACTAATTTAGTTCGAGATATTAACCATTTTCTCTCTTACAGAATTAAGATATTATAGATTTCCAAAACAAAAAAGAATTAAGAGATTATATTAAATAAATCTTTCTAATATAATTTAGAGTAAATACCCTTTTTGGTCCTCAGCAAATTTCACGACACCCGTTTTAGTCCCTAGCAAATAAAAAGGCCCATCATAGTCCCTAAGAAATTCAAAATGGACCCATTTTAGTCTTTTTAGGGACTAATATGGATTTTTTTGAATTTGTGAGGGACCACGATTTCAACTAAATGAATCCATTTTAAATTTCTTAGAGACCACGATGGGCCTTTTTATTTGCTAGGGACTAAAGCGGGCATCGAGAAATTTGTTGAGGACCAAAAAGGGTATTTACTCTATAATTTAAGTAATTAAATCATTAGTTAAACTTAATATTATAATAATGTGGGAGATTATATTTATAAATTAAATAGTTTACAAACTCTTATAACTAAATCTTAACCTTTAATTTTCTTTACTCTAACAGTTCTAATTTATTAAGAATTACTAATTAATTAATAAGTATGATCCAATAAATTATAATTGTTAGATTAACGAAAATCAACACTTAAGATTTAGTCGTAAACTATTTAGTTTGTAAATATGTAAAAGGTTATACTTACTACCATTTTAACTTTACTATTCTTATTACCTGTTTGGTTACCATTGGATCAATTTGAAATCAACGATAGTTATTTTCTTTTTTCATTTAAACCGGTGATTTGAAATTGATCCAACAGTAACAAAATAGGTAGTAAGAGTAGTAAGGCTAAAATGGTAGTAAGTGCAATCACTCCTTGTAAATATAACTGTCGTCTATACTAATTTATAAAGAGAGAATTTTTTAATTGGTCTTTTAATCTTTATTACATGGGATAAGATATTCTACCTACCTCTCTTTTTTCATGTTTATCTTAAATGCTCATCTCCAACACCGTTAGATTATAATCTCAACAAACTTTCACATTTTTCCATGCCTATCTTACATATCATTTTCCAACACTGTTAGATAAGAATATTGTTCTGTCTTAGAGACTAAGATGTTTAGCCTAATGGACTAGTTTGTTGCTTTTGGATCTAGGTGCGATCTCTAAGGTATCTATGAGTTAAATGCCCTTAAGTCAAGCAGATCGCTGTGCACAGAAGAATAATAAACGGCTTTGCCAAAAGGGTGTATGTGTGTGTGTGCACAATGACAACAAAACAGTAAGAGAGAGAGCGTAACATACCTATAGGTTTTATCTCTTATTTATAGAGTTTACCTATGGGTGTTGGATTCTGGACCTTCACGGGTGTTTGGTAAGGGGAATTTTTTGAGATTCTTGGGAAAGTGGCAGTAGTAGTCCTATTTACCCATGTTTGCTATAAGGTTTCTGGAAAAAAATTCTTGGGAATTTGATTTTCCCAAAATTTTATTTTGTGTACAACTTTTTTTCAAAATATCATCCAAGAAAACCACCAAATGGGTGGTATTCTTGGAATCCCAGATGTTAGAAAAAATTTACACTCTTTTTAAGATAAAATCCCAATAATATTTTGGCATACCAAATAACTTTTCGGTAACATTCCTGCGAAAGTGACTCTCCCACCGTATTCTTGAAAATTATGATTCTCAGACAAAAAAATATTTATCCTCTACCAAACGCCTCCTCAGTGCTTCTGATAACGGCTCATGCCCATATCTTATGTTGTCTGTAACACCCTGTTCGCGATAGGTAATGTTATCATCAATTATGATATTAAGCGCAGTTACAATCATAACAGTTCATTTTAAAAATTATGGTAAAACTTTTTCTTTTTATTACCGTTTACAAAATCATTACATTTATAAAATGATCGTATTCAACATTTTCCAAAACTATGATTGCAACTCAAACTATTTTGGACCCATAAAAAATATTGCTTAAAATCATACAATGTCTATTTAAAATTGCTAAGTGGTTCCCATAAACTAACGAAGCTCAAATACACAATTTGACTATTTACCTACTTAATGTATATATAGTTTTTCCAAAACTGCAACTGGACTACTTTTCCATAAATTCTCATCTTTTGATATATTATTCTACACTCTTTTACCTTTCCAACAAGGTATCGCACGCCCCATTTGGAGTTCTACAACTCTTGATACGCTCGCAGTAAGTTATTTTCCTTAAAATTGTCAAAACTGCACTTTCAATACTTAAACATACCTCACTGTTTTTCAAACTGCAGACGTTTCACATGTCTGTTTTCTCTCAAATTTTAATATATACTACAATACACCTCAAGCTTCAGTTTGATATATTATAAGCCTAATTTGAATAATAAATGAGAGAGATATGAATTTTTCAAAAACGAGAACCAATGTTGTAAAATACAGCATGGACAGAAATATTTCTCACTCAAACTCAAATTGGGTTGTTTATACAACTCGAAATGATACCAAATATCATGACAATATAGACGACATCTTAAGCTTCAAAATAAGGTATAGTACACCTTAATTGGACCACTGTGGAGAGAGTTATGGTCTTTCAAAGTTAAGATAAAATCTCATTGTTTTTCCAAAAATTTCAGCAGTGTCCTTTGTTTTTACAACTTTTACCCACTATATACAAGTGTGTTCCAAAACTCAAAAATGATACCCAATACACCAAAAGGGTGGCATCTAAAGGATCAACAACCTTGGTGCACTTACTATAACACCTCGTAATTCTAAATCATATAATTATATTATAAATATGGATTAAAGGGTATGATTAGTGAAAATCCTGAATTCGGAGTTAAAATACGTAAAAATGGTAAAACGGTAATTTGCCAAACATGTAACCCTAGGAAAGAAAAATTAAGTAGAAGGTCTCAAATGGAAAAACTAATCCTGGAAATGGATTCAGAATGAAAAATTGAGTGGTTAGGCAAGTTTCTGGAAATTTGATGAATAGTATTTTTATCGGGTAAAAATATTGCGGTACAGTTGCACCATAAAGCGTGCCGAATGAATTTTGAGCTCTAGGTTTGGAAATAAGTTATAAATGTTACATAGGACTAGGAATTATGATTTCTGGTTTATTGATTGAAATTAGGGTTTTTAGGGAAGTATGCCCACAGTGTGCATAACAACTTAAAACTGTGATTTACCGATTGACCGAAAAACTCCGGATTCATCTAATTAAGGACATCTGTGAATGTTAAAATTTGAAGTTTCTAAATAGTCTAGGAATTAATGGACGTTTAGTGGATTAAGCGGGATATTTGAATTAATTTGAATCGCGTGAGGTGGCGGTGGGACCCACCCCACTTAAATGGACTTGTGCCACATGACCAAAACACTATTGCATCATCCCTTTCCTCCCCTTCTCTCTCTTAAACTGTGGCCCTTCCTTTTGGTGTGCAATGTTGTGTTCAAATTTTGATACCACCTAAACACCATCAATACTCACTCAAAATCAACAAAGACCTACATCAAACTTTAAGTAAACAACCTTCTAAACACAACCATGATATTTTCAAGGCATTAAACTTGCTAGATTGGGAGAAAAATGGGACCTATGGCTGCATTTTTTTATGAAGAATGTTGATGTTCTTGGAGTGGTTTGACCCTCCATTGCTTGAGTATTTTGTGGAGGAGTCCTAGGCCTTGATTGTGGATAAGTTTTAACACATTTCATTGGTTGGATTGTTGGAATTGATTTTGAAGACCTAAAGCATGCTTGTATGGATTGATGTAGTTAGGGACTTTAAATTGAAAATGTGTATTAAATAAAAGTGTCTTAGAATGATATTTTATTATGATTGAGCTCATGAAAATTCTTGGTGAAAAGTTTGGTAACTTGGGCAAAAATTATGATGGAAATTCAAGACTTTGTGAAATTGAATGGTTGTAGGATTATGTAACTGAGTTATGGAGTAATTGTATGAGTTAATTATAGGATTGTATGATGTGTGGAAGTGTTGAAATGAATTAAAAA